CCACTCTAGTCCTCTGTGGCTATTTCACTGACTCTGGGCCCAAGAGTTCCAAGGTCTTACCACACTGCTGGCCAACCAGGTCTTCACCCGGGTTCACAGAAGTCTATTGAACGTTGTAGGGCTTAGCTCACCGCTTCATTGCTGTTTTTCCCTCACTTCCCCTTATCGGTGTCGAGCGTGGTCACCAATCGCAGCGTGTATTCCCATTGAGTCTTAGTCTTGGAAGGGTGTGTCCTGAATATTTCTGATGCTGAATTACAACTTGTTAACTTTTCTAATAAATCCCAAAACGAAGTATGGTGTCCGAGTTTTGTGTGGCCACTGGAATGAATTTTCAAACCCAGAGGAGTAGAAATTGCTGTGAGACTGACAGTTTGGTGCCACATTTTTTGCACACCTTATAGTTTAAGAAAATAAAAACTAGCAAATGACAACTCTATTTTTCCCTTCACAAAATCTAAAACTTATTTGTAGTCTACAGCCAACTTCTCTTTGTCTCCTGTTACAACAAAGGAAGTATTCCCATTTCTATCAAAAGCCACTTGGTTAACTTGTTCTGAAGCGCTGTTGAGTCGGTTCCAACTCACAGTGACCCTGTATAGAGTTTCTGAGAAGTGGCTGGTGAGCCTGAACCACTGACCTTGCAGTTCCAACCAACTTTGCAGTCCAGTGCATTAATCCACAGTGCCACATTTGTACTTGTTGTTGTTGTTAGGTGCCATCGAGTTGGTACCAACTCAAAGCGACACTACGCACAACAGAAAGAAACATTGCCTCGTCCTGGGTCAACCTCACTATTGTTGCCACACTTAAACCTACTGATGCTGCCACTTGGCCAATCCATTTCGCTGGGGTCTTCCTCTTTTTCTCTGACCTTCCACCTTACCAAACATGATCACCTTCTCCAGTGACTGACTAGTTCCTTCTGACAATGTGTCCAAAGTATAAGAGACGAAGTTTGGCTATCCTGGCCTCCAAGGAGCAGAATATCTGGCTGTACTTCTTCCAACACAGATCTGTTCCCAGAATTCCAATTCTTTTAATTTTTGCTAATAAATTCCTTCATTTGGTTATTAACTTTGTCCTAACCTCCACAATCTCTTCCTCTGTATAGGTTCCATCACTTAATCTATTTCATCAAGTGTTTTTAAAATTTTTGGTCCTGGGACCCTTTTCAATCTCAAAAATTACTGAAAACTCCAAAGAGTTTTTTTAAATGTGGGTTATATCAACATTTGTTAGAAATTTAAAATGAGATACTAAAAATTATTTTATAGTCAAAATATGCACAACTTATTTTCATGAAAAAAAAAAAAAAAAAAAAACACCTTTAAAAAAGTAATGAAGGAATATTGTGCTGGAAGTCTTAGCAAGAGCTATACGGCAAGACAGGGAAATTAAAGGCATCCAAATTGGCAAAGAGAAAGAAAAACTCTCCCTATTTGCAGACGATATGATCCTATACATAGAAAACCCCAAAGACTCAGTAAAAA